TGACGTTGTCGATGGTGTCTGAACTCTCCACCTCCAATGTTATGGTCTTCCCAGTGAGAGTTTTGACAAAGATCTGCATCCCTCCCCTGAGCCTCAGCACCAGATGGAGCGTGGACTCCTTCTGGATGTTGTAATCGGCAAGAGTGCGGCCGTCTTCGAGCTGTTTGCCTGCAAAGATGAGCCTTTGCTGGTCCGGCGGGATGCCCTCCTTGTCCTGGATCTTGGCCTTGACGTTGTCGATTGTGTCCGAGCTCTCGACCTCCAAGGTAATGGTCTTCCCAGTGAGAGTCTTCACGAAGATCTGCATGCCACCGCGGAGCCGGAGGACGAGGTGGAGGGTGGACTCCTTCTGAATGTTGTAGTCGGCGAGCGTGCGGCCGTCCTCGAGCTGCTTGCCTGCAAAGATGAGCCTTTGCTGGTCCGGGGGGATGCCCTCCTTGTCCTGGATCTTGGCCTTAACATTGTCGATGGTGTCAGAGCTTTCGACCTCCAAGGTTATGGTCTTCCCGGTGAGGGTCTTCACAAAGATCTGCATCTGCATGAGACGACACGGCATTTGCAACGCATTAAAGAACGATCAAAGCACGATAACCAGAAATCCACCCCGATCAAACGGTCTCTGCCGATCAAGATGGATACTACAACATAGAAAAGTAGATGGTAAAACACAACAAGATTCAACCTTCTCTAGCAGATCAAACCCTATCCAACGAAACAAACGATCATACAACCTAGAAATATATGATGTTGCCGGTGAACAAAAACCCTAAAAGCCAGAGCAACAACCCAGATCGACTAGTACATACTGCTCAAAAATATCTGAGAAAGGCTTCAAATCTTTGAAACAAAATCACCATGGATCACGAATTAGAGCAACAAGACGTGGATCCAACAGCACCAAAGATCACTACAAGATCATCACGTAACCCTATTCAGATCCGAGAGAGGCTATAAACAAGAACCGCCTTCAAATCCGAAATAGAAAAAAGATCCAACGATATCTAATCGAGAAGATGCACTCAGAGAAGGAGATAATACCTTACGAGGCGGAAACGCTGAAGCTTTCTTAGGAGATGGATTGGGTTGGAATCACACGAAAACGAAGGGGGGAGAGGAGCTCTGTTTATAGCGGTCGGATGAACCGACTCACTGCCACGGTGCCGTTACCGCCACGGTTTCCGCTCAATTTCGACCGCACACGTGGATGATTGACATCTCGACAATCGAACTGCGGAATCGGTGGAACTCCTCGCGACGGTGACGGGACACATCGCAGGCCGAGGCAACGTTATGTCTCCGTTTCCTAACGTCGTTAAGAGTTCGCAGCGCACGCGATTTCTGGATTATGTGGCGACGATGAGGAGTGGGACCCGTCGATGGGCCCCTGAATTCTCCAATGACCGTGCGGGTGACGTGATAGAGCCGTGAACGAGTAGAAAGAGGATTTTGGGAGGAGCATCGCATCCTACGGTGATGGGACCGTGGCGTGCGCGTAGAGGATACGCCTAACGCGAATCTAGAAGCGTTGCAAAGGAGATGATCAGGGCCGTCGATGCTGTCACCGACATCAATCGATCGACCAAGAAAGCCAGTCAATGCGCAGACTTGCGTCCGACTCTATATAAGGAAGCCAGCCAGGAATGCGGATCTTTCCACTGTCGTGCTCTCCGATCTTTCCCCGCGCCGCGATTGAAGGTCTTTGCCAGTTTACTTGAGCGATCTTTAGTTGGGTACGAGAAAATCTCCTTCTCGGCTTGATTGTCCTTTCTACGCTGTACGGTGATAAATAGCCTTTGTTCTTGATCTTGTTGGTTCTTGATTTCTTGTCCTTAGGCTTTTATCAGCATCAATTTTAGGGTTTCTTGGAAATCGAAGTGGTTTTTATTGGACAAGTAGGGTTTCTTTTCATTAGCAATCGTTTTGTCGCGATCTCTCTGCTGATTATGCGGTCAAATTTCTTTGGAAAATCGGTTTCTTTTTCTTTGTTTCCCCTCCGTTGAATTGTAGATCTTTAAACTGTTCATAATATTCTTAAAACGGCGTTCTTTTAGATGGAAACGGCTGAGAGGATATGATTGATTTGAAAAATAATCATTGTTGTTATTGTTTATTTGGGAAATCTTCGTACTTCATATGATTTAGCCAAAGAAAAGGCGAAAACTTTCTAGTTAATTGACGATGATCTACGTCTGAGATGCCATTCCTGCTTTTTTAGTTGTGGATTCTTTTGATCTTTAATCTTGATTTTGTTTATTCGTGAAGAATAAAAAAACATTTAGTATAGAAACCTTGCGTTGTATTATTAATTCTAGAGATCTCCAATTTGAATTAGGAGAGGAAGAAGCTTAATGGGGTTTTAAGAAATCTTCGTAAGAACTGAATCTTGTACAATTGGTCTTGATTTGCAAATTTGAGTATTTCTAGCGTTGCTTTTTAATTGGAGCCGATGGAGTTATGGTCTTACAATCTTGCAATTGTCATCCTGCCTGTCGATTTGAAGTTTCAGGAGATAATCGTTTGCTTTAATTTCTATATTTATTCTTTTGCACTCAAGATTTTGGGGGGCTTAATTTAACCGATGTTGTTACCACTTTAATTTGTTCACATATAGTTTGAGCTTTGTTTATCCAACCTTCTGATAGACCTATATGGATAGAGCAAATTAGTTGTCCATCTTGTAGTTATTTCGATACTTAGCTTCTATGGGAAGAATTGAATTCTTTCTTTCTTTTCTCTATTAATAAATTTATATTCTTGTTCACTTTTGGGGATTTTGATAAGCTTTTAGGGAATTTAGCATTCATTTGTTGGCTCAGAAATATTAATTTGACAGTATCCTTTTTATCAGCGAAACTAGAATGTGGTGGTCACAAGAGCTTTATTAAGCTCTCAAGTAGTTCTAATGTTGTTAATGTTCACATCAGAACTTTATTTCTGTTGAGTTGTTAATGCAATGTTAAATATTTGACTTTTTTTCTTTCCTAGGATGATTCAATATTTTCTGTATGCTTGTGAAGATGGAGCTACATTTTCAACATATTAACTATGTGATGCAATGCCTGTTCAATGATCTTGAAAAGCCTGAGATTAAATGCCTGTTCAATGGTCTGTGATGGTCTTTCCACCTCCCTTTTTGGTTGGGAGAAATGGAAATTAGGAGTTTTTTGTTGGAAATTGTTAATGCAGTGTTAATTATCTGACTTTTTTGTTTTCCTGGGATGACTCAATATTTTCTGTATGCTTGTCAAGATGGAGCTACTTTTCAACATTTGAACTGTGATACAATGCCTATTCAGTGATAAGATATTTGTCTCTGATAGCCTGAGGTTAAATGCGTGGGGAAAAACATTACATCAGATTACTTTATGTGCTTCAGTCTGAGATGGTCTTCCCACCTCCCTTTTTGGTTGGGAGAAATGGGATAAACAATTTTTTATATCTTTTTTTTTTGTTGGTGCAGCCACTATGAAGTGACTAACATAAGCTTTCTATTTTTCAGCTTCAAGTGATCAGCGGGGAAGTATATTTGTTTGTTTTCTTCAGTTCTCAACTGTTAAGAGTTCATGTCTGATCTTGACGTCCAGCTCCCCACTGCTTTTGGTAGGTTGACCTGTGATTTTGTTTATCTTTGGATTATGGTTTGCTCGTGCGATAGCAAAGACTAAATATCTTTCAATTTGTTGGTGCAGACCCGTTTGCTGAAGCAAATGCTGACGACTCCGGTGCTGGTGCCAAGGAATACGTGCATGTGCGGGTACAACAGCGGAACGGCAGGAAGAGTTTAACCACAGTGCAAGGATTAAAAAAGGAGTTCAGTTATAACAAGATCTTGAAGGACCTGAAGAAGGAGTTCTGTTGCAATGGTACTGTTGTCCAAGATCCAGAGTTAGGGCAGGTACATCATTGAAAATGAGACGACAACTACAAATACAGATGGTTATCATGTATAATGTCCATAACTGATTGTTGTCTTTCTGTTATGGCAGGTTATTCAACTCCAAGGTGATCAGCGAAAGAATGTGTCTAACTTTCTTAGTCAGGTACAGCAACTTGTTTTTCTAGTAAATGTTTTTACTGGTGTATTAATCAGAGTTGGGACTTCACAGTTTTGTTGTTAGTGTATTAATCAGGTTATAGGAAATCATTCATTTTATTTTTCCTAATGTGTTTTGGACCCTGTATTGGAGCTGTGGTTGCCGTTTAAAGTCCTTGTTGGATGAGTAGGAATATTCTTATGAGATCATCACATCATTATGAAGTGTGAGGAGAGTCTATGCTCCCATAAATGGGCTCCTTTTCTGTTTTCTGTTTGTTTTTGCTCATCAGCTCATATCTGAGACCCTATTGGAACTTGAATCAAGGAATTAAAGAGTCTCGTGCATAGTTTTGCTGACAATTGAAATACCTACCCATCTTCATGTTGAATGGTGTGAGTGATAGAAATCACCCTCATCATGTTAATTCGATTTGCTTTTACTCTACAACTTACCATATTTTATTGCTGTGAAAATTCACGTGGTGTATCTGTTGATTTTGTCCTCTCCCATATGATTCATGCATCAACATTTCTAGAAAATACATCTTTAGAAATATAGTTGGAATTTGAACACACCCACTAGAGTTATCTTCGAATCGTTGGGCTTGATCTCCCAACAATCATCGACCGACAATGACATAGGAGTTGTTGAAATAGTTGAAATCACAATGCAGACCCACTAGGCTAGCCTTATCAACTTGAAGAGTTTGGATAATCTACATGAAATGTTGTTCCAAAATGTTGCTATCTAGAGATCTGTCGTCTTGATACTGGAAAATTGCTGATATTTTGGGGGGAGGATGTGAGCTAATTTTATTATGTTTTCATCTGACTGACTGCCAAATTGTGTTTCTGGATGCAGACCGGCATAGTGAAGAAGGAATACATCAAGATTCATGGTTTCTGAGTCCATGCTTGTTTAGCTATCCGAGCAGTGTGTGACATTTGGTAGCTTGTTTCCGCTTTGTTTGCTTGATACCTGAACTCTCAAGACATCCGAATAAGATGGAATATTTGAAAGGAACCTTATCCACATTAAGAGAAGTGTATTTGTTCGTGTTGGATCATCGCTTGTGTATAAGAGGCCTCAATTTTCTTTAGTATAATTCGAAGTCTCAATGTGATTCCAATATGCGCAAAACATTTTGTGGGTCGTACAATCGTCACAAAGAGTGTATTTGAAAGGGAACTCTTTTTCTTCTGTGTTGTGTTGCTCAAAGATGAGATCAAACATGTGAAATTTGATAGTAAGGTTTGTCCACTTGAGCTTTGCAACAAAATTTGGAGAGGGATTACCCTTTTTACAGCCAATAATCAGAACAAACGAGTATCCGATGATTCAAGACCATATGTTCATCATCTACTTCAGATTTGATTAGGAATAGCTGCCCTGCTGTTAACAACAATACATCTGCAGTCTAGAAGAAATCAGCCAAATGGGTTGCTTATATATAAAGAAGATGGTTTGTTCAAACACGCATTCATTATATTTCCCACATGAGAACCAACCATATCGGTGTGCTTAGTTTATATATAAGTCGTTCCTATCAGTGATCCATTTGTCTTTCAATGGTGGGAAATTTTATATGAATCAATGATCATATAAAAGAGGCTGTATTAATTAGCTAAGGAAAAAAAAAAGAAGATCAAACACCTAATGCATAAACAAACTAAAAAAAGATCAAAAAAAAAAAAACAGTTTGTCTTCTTCTGGAGATCTACTCGTCGTATTTATGAGCAACTCGAGAGATGGTCTCTCACCATGAACAAAGGGACCAAGCAAAGCCCCTTTTTCCTCAGATCTCTCTGTACGCCCACATGAATATTCCTAGGCGAGTCCATTTCATCAATCTGCAAAACCAAGAAGAAGATGTGTTCAATCTATCTCCGATCCAGCAATAATATGAAAAGATCTCTGTAGCAGAAGAAACCATATATGTAGCAGGAACTCGAGGAAGCAGAAGAAGTCATCGTCTATGGCTCTTCCTCCTCTTGTCGAGTATGGCATCTCAACTCTGGAAATTTCCAGCACTTCGTTTTTGATGCAATCCCCCCTCACGTATCATGCAACTCCAGTGATCTTTCTCTGAGATAACAACCAGTCTTTCTTTTTCTTACCCCCTATTTGTTGTCCGTTTCAATTTTTATTTCCTTCAGAAATTTCTTAATAATTTTTTTTCCGTAAGATAATGAAATTAGGTACCCCACCCCTATAATTCTTATAAGAGAGATCATATCTTTAACATACAGCAGTGCTTAAGAAGGCACTCACGAATGAATCATAGACGATATTAAATTGATCCAAAAAAAGATAAAAAGGTAGAGCTTACAGATTTAAAACCACCTCCTCAAACTAACTCCGATTGATTGGTCTACAATACAGCCTATAAGCTGAACAAATTTATAATTGCGGGAAAAGATATATATATATATATAAGGCCATCTAGCTAATTGTGGCCTCTCAATTACAATGGCACCGAGGTCTTCGTCAGTCAGAATGGAAAGAAATTGCTGCTTGCTGCTAGTACAAATAACTTGATCGCGAGAAGGATGTCGCTATGGTACAACATTTCCGCAACCGCGGTTATTGCCGCTACCCAGAGCAGGGTATTATTGTCTGCCAAACCCCGGTGGTGGCGGCGGTGGCCTCCTGCTGTTCAAGCTCCTATCCAGAGCAGTGTACCGATTGGTGGTTTGCTGGTGGTGACCAAATGATCTCCCGGTAGTGTGCTGACTTGGTGGTGGTGCCCTCTCATCTCCATATTGTTCCTCCCACTGCTGGGTTGCATAGGAATGGTAGCCCCCGTAATTAGCATTGTATGGAGCCTGAGTATGAGCATAGGGTCCGTGTTGAGGTACCGGTCGATTAGCAGAAGGATAAGGATATCCACCACCCTGCGGGTAGTTATAAGCTGGAACTCTGCCTCTGGCATCAGGGTGGCTGCTTCCACTATGGGGGTCGTAATATGACCTACTACTGTAATGATCTCTTTCATACTGAGATCCCAATGATCTTTCATAGTAATGAGTCGATGTGGTAGAATCATACCATCGCCCATGACCATCACCTGAATCATTTCTAGGGTCGTAATGTTGTGAATGACCAACCTGATGGCCTGCCCTAGCTGCTGCTGCTGCTCTCTGATCCCCAACATGGTGCCCGCCACCTGAATACGGCAGACCATTTGTGCTGGTATTGTAGGACAATGGAGCAGCCCTAGAATCACCACTGTAATGGTCCCTACTTATTTGTAAGCTGTTCTTGACTAGCCGATGTGCAGCATCTCCTAGTTGTTTGCCAGAGATGGATCCAGGTGGATTTTGCCTGAAAGAGAAAAAAAAAGTAACACCACCGGTTGAAAATGTTAAAAGTTGGCATCGGTGGAAATAAAGCAGACAAACTAAAAATTCTTTGGGTCACTGGAAAAGAGTAAAATAAGATTAGTCAAATAGTTACCTTCCATTTTCAAATGGCTTCCTGCCAGTATCTTCATGCCACAGAACTGGTGGTGGCTTCAAGTCACCAGCTGTGACAATCTGCAACAAAGACACAGGAAGGATAGAAATCAAAAGAATACAAACAACATATCAAAAGAATAGAAATCAAAGTGGAAAATGAGTGAACTTCTGACACACTTGGCCCCCTGAGTATTGGAACAACATCGACGAATTCCTTCGTCAGAAGGATCAGCACATACTTTTAGCAAATATTTAAACACTAAGGCCACACCAAAATGGCGAGCCTTGACCAACATTTTAGCCCTCAGTAATGCCATGATTTAAACCTTCTGTTTAGCAATTAAAATCATTTATCCAATCTTTTATGTACCATGTAATTCTACAAGTCTTATTATATAGATGGAGTCGAGGATCCGCAAGCCAACAGGATGCAGAATGTCAAGTTGCCCTTATGCATCTTATGCTTGAATTCCAAATCAAATCAGAATACAAAAGCTAATCTGCTAGCAAAAGGCATACAATTCAATCGTGTGCTTCATTTCACTGAACTTGAGGACAGTCATCATCTTTTCTTATATTGCAATTATACTATTATGTGACCTTGTGGGAAAGCATAATGACCCTGTATGGTCGATCATTGTACAACCAAAAGAATAGGTGCTCTATTAGAGTGATTCAGTTCTATTTTAATATGGTCTTTAAGCACGAGAGGCATCAATACGACACCCTTGCCATATTAATTCTTCTGTTCTATTAGGCTTAAAACAACTGTCTTTCCAACATCCAATTCACATGTCATGAATAAAAAAATATGGGGGATTTCTCCTGCATTTTCCTTCTAGGAAGAATATAATGATGATCCTTTGCAACATGGGTGACCTGGTTTCAAGTCACAAAACCATTTATCTACTTAAAGGGATAGGGTTTCATATATTGATCTTCCACTGAACCCAGCACAAGCAGGAACAGGCCACCCTTTCATTAAATAATAAAGAGAAATTTAACTACTTTATCAACCTACAATAAGTACCATAAAGCCAAGATAATTTATCCAACATGAACTAGCAAATTTCAAAAATCACATTTTACTGGTTATTACATATTAAGAATCAAATTTGAAGGTTTATATGTTAAGCATAAGACACATATAATGATGAGATGCAAAAAGTCCAACACCCTGCGTGAATATTATAAAAATGACACAAATCCATATTATAAAATATCATCACAAAGTCATCACACTTTAAAATTGTATATTTCACTTGCAAATAAATGTGGGCTTAAAAATGGATACAAATTTGAGGATACTCCAAAACAATATGCTATTACAGATGCAAAAGTACAAACTCTGTGTGGATTCATGTAATTTGATAGTAGAAATAAGAACAGCCTACAGAATTCATAAAGACACCCAATTGGTACTAGTAAATAGGATCCAAAATAAATGAATAGCTGGTTGATATTCACACAGATATGGGTATATTTTGTTAGTACAAAAACATTCAGGACTCTTCCAAGACTAAATTAGATGAGATAAGCTAAGAGTCCTTATCTTACCAATTGCCATACAGCACTACAACTGACTGCAGGTGGTCTTGACTTAATGAACAGAATCTAATTTACTTATTTATTTATATTTTTTTCGTTCATCTTCCCCTTCCTATTCGAACTAGGCAAATTACAAAAATGTCAGAAACTGTATTAGTTCTTTATAAGGAAAACTATAACAATCCACATGTCCAGCTGGATCACAGGGAAAAAAATTATTTAAACAAGGGCGATAAGATCAGGATTTTCAACGTATACAGATATTCCTAACACGTGAAGAAATAACAGAAAATGAGTAAACATGTAAAATTACTATATACCTTCTTTGGAATAATAACACCAGCCGGTGGCCGGGTGATGTGCTTATGTGTATCTGGAAGTTTGTAAATTGAACATCTGGAGAAAAGAGTCATTAATGCATAATTTTCTTCAAGAAATAATGTAAACTGATAATTTTGCAGCAACTGAGATTACATGACTTGATTATCCATTATATCTTCCATTCCTTTAACAGGAGATCTAAAGATAGGAGGGCATGGATCTCCACTACAAAGACATAGATACCCATTCATTCCACCACTGCACAAAGCAGAAAAAAAATCCAATTAACAGCTTCATTTATAATTTGGTTAATTTCTTTAGCATTCAAAAAGTTAACGAAAAGTGTCCGGCCACCATGCTAGTTTAATGCATAACCACAATGCCTATCCAGAAAAAAGAATGTGTTTTCTCCAATTATGCTCATGATATACAAAAAGATAGGAGCATAAAGGAGCAAAGTATCTCGATGTCATTAAAATTACAAACCAACAACTTTAAAATAATTTGCAGCTTAGCTGCCATCCAGTAAGTGGCTTAACATGCTTGCTTCTAGAATCACTTGGTGCAGATATTAACAGCATAACTCAGACAATCGAGACAAGAAGGAACACAGACTTAAAAACAGAATAAAGGCATCTTGTTTTAAGTCTTGCAACATTGACACAATGACCAACTATTTCAATATGACAAATAGCAATTTCAATGCTTCTATGTAGTGTCCTAAATCGCAATGAAGAGAACACAACAGCGTCCTTAAAAATAACACATTCCAATTCATCTGCATAACCACCTTGAATGCCACATCATCAAGTTTCAGCAAATCAAGATATTCATTTTGCTTCTAATCTATCCACGGGATCCATAACCACAACC